TGGCAGAGGGTAGGGTCTTGCATGTTTGATGCCGGTGTTTTCGACTTGGTCGCCGGTAAAGACGACGAGGTTGGGCTGGACGTGGCTCACGAGCCGGCCGATGAGGTCCGTCATGTTGTACTCGCCGCACGGCATGTGGGGCGGCCCGTTGCACGCGTACTTGGGGTTGCCCGTGTAGTGCATGTCTGGAATCTGCAGCACGGTGAAGCTGAGCTCGGGCTGCCCCGCGCTGTCCTTGCCGACGACCGCGCTGAGAGAGTAATCGCGAGCTGCTAGCTCGATGTCTTGGGCAAACGACGCGACGGCGAGGAGCGCCGTTGTAACACAAGGCAACCATGAAGCGAACATTGGGTGGGTGGAGGAAATGAAAAAGTGATCTGTGGTCGCCCATGCAGCACCGCGTTGGCCCAAGCAGCGCAAGATTCAAAACTATACATCGTCGGTAGGAACCAGATTGTGGTGAATCTGGCGTGGGTGGCCATACTTCACTTTAGATTCCGCCAACTCAGACTCAGATTGACGGTTTCGCGCTGCGTGCATACAAACTCATTTGTATTTTCGCACATGACGTATCGATGGCAGCTGCACAAACCCTAGTAGCAAGGCTTTCCATTTTGGCAGATTCCTTGGCCATGAATCTATGCCGTCGACCTCAAGCAGAGCCGCAAAGACTCGAAACGCCCAAAACATCTGGTGCGTGCGTACACGAAACCTCGACATAGGATTTTCAACCACTAGCCTGCTCGCTATGGAAAGAGGTGCGTATAGGAGTTCGGTAACTTGGGAATCCATGGCCAAGAGCTATCTCTCGTATGTCTTATCTAAAACGGCTGGTTTGAATCTCCGAGAGTTATGGGTCATTTGGCGTCCTGTTTCTTCGTGGCCCAAAGAAATAAGTTACAGGTCGACACGCATTCGTGCTTGGCCTCATGGACAAAAATACATGTGCATTTATGTCCTTGCTAGCACGAAAGAGAGCCCTCCGTACGCCGACTAGACGTCCGTAGCATCGTTCGAGAAGATGGCCCGTCGGTACAAGAGGTACTCGTGCTTAGAGTAGTCGCCGTCTTCTTGCTTCCACGTCGTAATCACTTCGTCGGTCGAGTTGCGCTTCCAACGAATCACACGCGCGCTGCGCGCAATCGTCGGATCCCCATACGCCGCCCCTACCATGCACATGTAAAAACACACAAGCCGCCTCCTGCGGAGCGCACCGTAGCCGACACCGCCGCCGTAGCACAGCTGGACGCCCCGCCGGAGGACGCAGTAGTCGTTGAGGTGGTCGTGGCCCACAAACGTGGCCTTGACGTCGCGCACTAGAAGACACATTGCATGAAATCGCGCTTCTCGCAAGACAAAGAACCCACTTGCGACAAGCGTGTCGAGGAGACCGCACTGGGGGCCGCTCGAGACGGGCTCACCCTTGTGGCCGTACGTGGGTTCGGTGCTCGACACAAGGTTGAACTCGGGAATCGGAATGTGATGAAAGAGCACGGCAGGTACGGTGTGCCGGTGAAGGATCGCTCGGTTGCGCAAATAGTTTTGCTGCTTCTCCGAGATGACGCCGTCGTACCCCGTGTCGAGAAAATACATGCGAAAGTTGATTCCGCTGTCGGGCGACGCCACTTCGAGTTCGTAGTTGCCGACGCCACCAAGTCCGATGGGACCGCTTTGGGAGTACGACAGAGGCAGCGACGTGATGTAGTCCATCATTGCTTGACGACCCCACGACGCCTATGACACTATGAGCGGCGTAACGATAACGAGAGATGTTTACGCCTTCGTCGTGGTTCCCAAACACCATTGTCCACGGCACTTGCTTGAGCATTGGAAGAAGCGCGTACGAAGCTATCGCGCCCTTGACTTCTTCAATCGTCTGAGAGCCATATTGTTTGTCAATGAACTTTGATAAAACGGACGTACGTGCGTCACTTCAATGTTTTCGACTTGGTCGCCGGTAAAGACGACGAGGTTGGGCGTCACGTGGTCGAGGAGCTCGCTGATGAAGGCCGTCATGTTGTACTCGCCACACGGCTCGTGCGGCGGGTTGCGGCAGTACCGGTTGCGGTCGCCCGTGTAGTGCATGTCGGGAATCTGCAGCACGGTGAAGCTCAGCTCGGGCTTCCCCGCACTGTCGACGCCACTCACGGCGTTGAGCGTGCGGTTGGTGGCTTCCGAAGCAACGCCAAGGGCCACGGCGGCAAGTAGCATTGTGCGCATCATCTTGCGGCGCGGTCAATTGAAAAATGAACTCGCTGCGTGCGATAGCCTCGGAGCGAACCAGGCCCCACTCGCAACGAGCTGTACACGGCTGCATCGACAAAACGCGACGTATGCATGCCCGTACTGCGTGCTGCACGCATACAGGCGCGGCGTTCTGAGACCGTGTCGGCCTTCCTTGCCACACACTGCATCAACACGTCGAGGTATGCATGTGAGTGGACAACATCCGGCGCCTCTTCTGGTCGCGGTGCGCGATCGTCTCGGTCGGAATCAGACACGGCGGTTTCAGCCGGGTCTACAGACAAAGACTATGGCAGTTTCGCGAATCTCGTCTGCAACCGTCACTGGTTTTCACAAAAACCCTTTTGGCAGCTAGACATCCTATACATTATGGGCGACGCGTCTTGAAAGTGTACTCATACATCCAAGTTTGTAGGCTGTCTTCGCTCCATTCCGACCTGGCCTTTGTGGTGTGCTAGTAGCTACGGGTCGCTGCATTGTCGTATGCACAAACCGCTCAGTTGGGTGCCTACACCAGAATTTGTTGCCCAGTCGAACATCAAAGCTGCTAGCAGCGCCTCTTCCTGTGCCAAGACTCTGTTACAACAGGACCACGATCAATGCATACGGTTTGAGTTTTGAGCAAAACAAAGAAACAGCTCGATTGGTCGTCGAGTCGAATCGACTTAGCATGGAAACATGAA